GCAATAAGAAAAAAGATACACCAAATAGAAAAATAATAGGAGAAGGCAAATCACAGAGTAAATCAATTGTCCCCAAAACATTAAAAATATATTCAATCTTATCTCATTTAAAGAAATATAAGCATAAGCTACAAAATAGAATTTTAAGCTATTATACTGGCAAGTATTAAAATGCTCAGTATTGGAGAATTTGAAAGAAACAGGCTCATCTCTCATCTAGTTGGAAGATGTGTATATTGATAAATTAATTCTGGAAGATAATTTGTCAACATATTCAAAAGTATTAAAAGGGTATAGATAATCTTTGTTCTAGAAATTACATTTCTAGAAGTTGTATCTAAAGAAATCACTTGAAATAGATATTTACAAAATTTAGCAAGAAGATTAATAATCAAAATATTGTATTTACAATGAAAAATAAAAATAAATGTCCAACAATGGAGTAATAGTTAAATATTATAGGTCCGTATGATGGAATATTTTTCAACCACCAAAAATGATGAGGCACATGAATACTTCTTGATATGTTGATGATTCATTCAGTGAAAAAACAAAGCTCAAAAGAATATAACAGTATGATCTGGTTTTCATTTAAAATGATTGTCTATCTCTATCTATCATTTATCTATTTGCCTACCTGCCTATACACTTATCTGAAAACAGCTGGAACTTTATTTATCATGCTGTTAATGTTAGTTACCACTGGTTGGTGTTTTTTCATTTTCCCCATTATTTTACACTATGTGTTGTTATTGCATATTATTGCTTATTTTCTTTTCAAAAGATTATGTATTGCTTGTGCAATAAAGTATTGCTTGTGCAATAAAAAAGTAAATGCTATTTTAAGGTAAAAGCATGTATATATTTTCCCTTTTGTGTAAAGTATGACAACGTTTCAATATTTGTTTTATAAAATGACTCTTGCAAGTCAATTAGAGAAAAGAACAACACAGCAGAAAAACAGGCTATAGATGATTCTCAAAATAAAAACTATGAGTGACCTAGAAACAAGAAAAATTCAACTTCACTAGTAATTTAAAGCATAAAATCAAAAGGAGATCATCTTTTTCTATCACCAAATAGACAAGTCTTCTAAAAAAAATAAGAGAATTAATTCTCTGTGACAGTAAATTTTTAGGGCTACGAGATCTCTTGTACAATGCAGATGGGAACAATATTTCTAGAGAATATGATAATACCTAACAAAAGCCTTAATGTTGTGCATGCCATTTGGCCCAGACATTCCCTTTCTCACAATTTCCATAAAGAGATAATTACGCACACATGCAAATAAGGACGATCATCACAATATTGTTTGTAATAGTGAAAATTAGAAAAACTCAAATGTCCAAAAATAAATTAACTAAATTATGGTAATATTCATAACATGGAACCTTATTCAGAAATTAAATTGGACTTCTAGAAGAATAGCTAATGACATGGAACAAACAGTTTATAATACACTGTAAAGTGGAGAGAAGTGTTCGTTTTCTGCTTCATCACAGAACCAGGGAATATGTTCCTTTGGTGCCACATGCATTACCCCGGTATTCTTGTCACATTTGATATTCGACCACTTAACACAGCTTGTTGGTGCCTGTTCTGACGCTTGATAACAATGGTACTGTGAACGTCTCTCTCTTGTCTCTCCTTATAAATTTATACAGTGATTTTACAATGGGAAAGATCTGTATCTAACAAAGAAAACAGTACTGGTAAATAACGGGTCCATGTTCCTAAGATACAGAACCTGAAGGTGAGCACTAAGGAAATAAGGTAGTGACCTTAACATAACCTGGAAATGCACTTAGAACTGACAAAAAAGTAAACACGCCATTTATTTGACTTTGTGACTGAATCAGCAATCCCCAAATATACTCTTTTTGCTATTCAAGACTTGGAGAGACAATTAATAGTATAAGGGCTATAGGGTGTCCTTAGAAACTACGTACAAATTACAAATCCCGTCCATATAGTAATCAAGATTCAGTTGTTCCCTCTGTACTCATCTGAAGCACCATAGTGTCGTGGTTGAGAGCTCAGCCTCTTTTGGTCATAAACCAGGCTCTGTTGCTCTATGTGTTTGGGTCACTTACATAATCTCGCTTTGCCTGTGTACTCACATAAAGATGGGCATAATGATAGTACGGACATCACAGGGATAGTGTGCTATTAAAGTTACTATACTTAGAGACCTTTGAATATACATGGTAAGCATTCATTAAGTACTAGCTGATGGTATTTTTATTACTACCATTATTATAATGGGATTTTTGCTGATTTTTCAGTTACTGCAAGTATTTAAGAAAATCGCGTGGTTTCCCTAATACTTGCTTGCTTAGTAACTCACTCATTCTCTCACTGTATTTCCCTATATCTCTGCGCTTTGTTTGCTTTGGGATCTTGACTACCAGAGCCCCAAAAAACACACAGAGAATCCATGAGGCTGTAGAGGCCGCGAAGAAGAGTCAGGAAAGTTAAGGGCAGTTATTCAGCGGCAGGGAGGGAAACAGAGAATAGCTCGAAGTGGTGAACAACAGAACCAGAGCTGTGGACACCCGGTTCTGAGACGGGATGCCTGCAGCATGAGCCATACGTTGGGTACTCGGAGTTCCTGTCCTGACTCTGATTTTCTTTGGGGTAGCTTTTCTGATTGGCTTGGCTCCCATGTCTTTCTTTTACAATGAAACTTTCTCAGGGGCGCCTGGGTGGCTCCGTCGGTTAAGCGTCGGACGTGGGCTCAGGTCATGATCTCACGGCTCGTGACTTCGAGCCCCGCGATGGGCTCTGTGCTGGCAGCTCGGGGCCTGGAGCCTGCTTTGGATTCCGTGTCTCCCTCTCTCTCTGCCCCTCCTCTGCTCAGGCTCTCTGCCTTTCTCTCAAAAATAAATAAATAAAATTATATAATAAAACTTTCTCAGCTGAGGAAATGTGAGGACTTCTTTGAAGCTTGCACAACATATATGACACGCACGTGTGAACCATTTAAAGTATGCCATGGATATCCACACAAAAGATCCACACTGGATGCTGGGCCTCTCCAGCTTTTCGGCTTTGTTGTCCTCTTGGCCTTTTGTTATGGACTCGGGCTGCAACCTTATTCTTCAGCTAGCCCTTTGGATGACTGTCTCAATTTTGGACTTACAATCATGACTTTTATCTAAAGCACCTCTCTAGGTCTCAGTCCTGAGCTCTGACTTCTCTGTTATATGAATCAGAATTGTGAATAAGCATGTCCTCACGCTGTCATAGCAATGGAATCTGCTTGGGCCTGAAATGGAAGGAAGGTTGTGATAGAATCTGTAATAGTCAGATGGGCTGGAAGGAAAGGTACATGAGCAGGAAGGAGGGTTTTAAAAAGTAAAATTGATAGAATATCAGGGAGGAAGGAGTGGGTAAAATCCAGGGTAATTTCTGATGCTCTTGTCTAGATTACATGGAGGGACTATGAACAAGAAATGGCAGGTTTTTGCAGCAAAGACAACAAGTTGTTGCATGAAAGAAAATTTGATTTCAGTTGGATTCTTCCAGCAGACAGCTGAAAATTTCCTTTTAAAAATTCATTTCCCTAACTACCAATTAGTTTGAATTAAAGTAAGTTGGTCTACAGTAGATTGTAATTTTCTCTTCCCTGTTTATTTGCTTTCCAGGAGTATTTGGGTTCACATCATTTCAGAAATGAATTCATTTTATTCATGTTGACCTTAGAAAAACATATATCATGGGGGGGGGTCCTCTCAAAAATCTGTGTATCAGGGATCTGAATTCGAGAGGGTTTTTATTTCTTAAACAATCATAAAATGTAATAAGTCAGGGTTAATAGTCCTACAAAAAAGTTGGTAACCAACACTATATTAATGCTATTGCCTGTGGAATTGTTTTCTAGAAGGAAAAAAATATCAAAGTGCACAAAAACATCAAGTTTGAAATAACTTAGAGCCATAAGACCATCTTGAGAAATCTCCTAAACTATGGTTTAGGAGATTTAATGGACTGTGGCAATACATTAGTGGATGACAAATTTGAAATGTGTAGCTTCAGAAGCAAGTACAGAAGAAAATAGTATTACTTTGCAAAAGTTATATACACATTAGTCTACGGTGTTAGTTTAAAAGTTATTATTTCTGCCTGGGTATTCATTGTATATATGAGATGAAAAGAAAAAAAAATAAATAACCAAAACAGGACATAAAGCCCTGCAAAGTGAAAGAAATAAAATGAAAGCAAAGATACAGAGAAAATTTTCAAAGAAAAAGATAAATACAAAAACGTATTTCAGAAAAACTGTAGGAATAAAATAAGCAGATGAAATTTAGGACAAGTGCCCACAAAGGAAAAACTTCCAAAGGAGAAGCAGCATAAAGACAGAAAAGGAAATTAAAAATCACAGTGGGGATATGGCCTTACCGATTTATCATTTTATTCCTTAGAAGCCCTCTATCAGTAAAGTATAACCACAACTCTGGAGAACACAAACAAATATAAAATTATGCACAAATGCAAGAAAGAAATTCAATTAAAAAAACAAAACAAAAACAACTAGCACCCGTCATCTTTGGGTGGGAGACAAAGAATGGTTTTTTCTTCCTAGTGTTCTGTATTTTACCTAAGTGTCTTACAGAAAGATATACTACTTTCATATGGACAGGAGTAAACTCTATTGAAAATGAAGCTCTGTATCACATTTCATATTAAAATTTAATCCAGCAGAGTCTCACTCTGCTGCCAGGCGAGTCAGGAACTGAAGAGGATGCTCTGCTTCCCCGTAAACCATGTCCTAGTCAGCCCTTCCTAGTTGGAGTGGTCTACGGGATGAGCTCTGCACTTTGCTGTTGGTGAGAAACTGACCTCCCCGCTACTGGCGCGTGGTGCTAGCCGCCCCGGTACTCGCGCGTATCCGTCCGCCGTGCTGTCGTCCAGGTGGGAGAAGCGGCTCGGATTCCTGCAGCTCCCAGAGTCTCAGCCAGGCCTGCGGTGCGTCCCCCGTAGCGTCCCCGCGCTCAGACGCCCACTGTTCCCTCCGCTCTCTCGCACATCCGCTGCAGAATTCGGTGAATGCTGGGGAAGCTGGGTCTGTCGGCGGGCAGCTTGCTCCAGCACAGGCGCATCAGGTTGTACAGCTCCAGGGGGCAGTCCTCAGGCCGGGACAGGATGTGGCCGTCGCGCACGTAGTAGATGACCTCCTCATGGGCCATGCCGTAGTAGGGCTGCAGGCCGTAGGAGAAGATCTCCCACAGGACCACGCCGTAGGCCCACACGTCCGACTCGGTGGTGTAGCGGTTGTAGAAGATGGACTCGGGGGGCATCCAGCGGATGGGGATGGCGTCGTTCTCGTTAGCTTTGTAGTAGTCCGCCGAGTAGATGTTCCGGGAGAGGCCGAAGTCGGCGATTTTCACCACCATGTTCTCGCCCACCAGGCAGTTCCTGGTGGCCAGGTCCCGGTGCACGAACTTGCGCTCGGAGAGGTAAGCCATGCCGGCGGCCACCTGCCTGGCGATGCACAGCTGCTCCGCGCAGGAGAGCGGTGGCGGGGCCGGGCTGGCGGCCTGGGCCCTCCCGGACAGGTCGCTGTGACTGAGGCTACACACGGGGTGCGGGGACATGCCGCGGAGGAACTCGTTGAGGTCGCCGTAGGCCATGTATTCAAAGAGCAGGCACATGGGCTTCCCGACGGCACACACGCCTGCAACCGAAATCACGGCCCTCGTTAGGGTGGGTGTCTCAAGTGACACGGGGGAAAGAGCGCTTCCAAAGCACTTGGTGGCCACATCAGAAAATAGGGGCCCCCGTATTCTGTGGACGACATCGCACTCGAACCCTGATCCCATTTGTTTGGGTGTCAACGTCGGCCTATTTACGTTTTAAGATTCAGCTTATCCATCACTCCTGCTAAGTGCCTCCACTGTAGACACTGCCTGTATCAGATTTGCCTTCTATCAGCCTTTAGCGGAGGACCTACCGTCCCGTGACAATCGTCCATTTGTTTGAGGTTTCTCCTCCAACATTTTAGAGCTCTGAAAGCAGAAGTCATGTCTTATTCTTTTTTTAAATCCCACACACCTACCACGTGTGCGGCACAGCAAGTACTCGGTACTTGTTTGCCGAGTGAATTTACAAATGGCGCTTGCTTTGAGCATGTAAACTACTTGCTCTTCCCGCTCTTTCCATGGGGAAGGATGGTAAAGAAGATGTATGAGATTTGGAAAGGATAACACAATCCAAAATCTTAGGTAAAGTGCTCAGTAAAATTTTTCAAACTTAGCTTTTCAAACTTAGCTTTTCAAACTTAGCTTTTCAAAATTTTTCAAAACTTAGCTTTTAGGATGTTCATTCTAGAAAGAAAAAAAATGTTAACATAAATGGAGTCTCAGGGTTAGTGCCAGGAGGACATTTGCAAAACTTAAATTCTTGCTGTATTTGAGAGGGAAATAGGACACCTTGAAATATTAGGTCATTTGGGTGCAATTTCACATCACTGTAAAAATAGATTATTAGACCTATTATTCTTTTTTTCAGGCAAAAATTAGAAGTCTTTGTTCACAAAGGAAGAGAAATAATGAATGCTATTATCTTGGCTTATTTATATTGGGCCTGGTTTTTAATTCCAGGGATTTAGCAATCAGTATATTTATACATTCTAGAGAGAAAATTAAATGACAACATACTTCTCTGAGTAATTTAAAAAAAAAAGCGATGTTTTGAACTGAGGTTATTTAACGTAACGTTCCACTCCTTGGTGCAGAAAATATATGGGAAGGAACAGGGATGGCTCTCTGACAAAGAAGTGAAGGAAAAAAGCACAAATGTAGGGGTAAAGGAGGAAACCTTGGGAAGCTTCTGTTTGGGGGATGCAATGCATTTCTTCATTTCTATAGTCATACCTAAGAGTTTCACAATGTTAGGGTTATCAAATTCTGCCATGAGGGCTGCCTCCCTCTGAAAGTCGGCTTGCATGTCTGCTGAGGCTTCTTCTTTGAGCATCTTCACTGCCACCATTGTGAACGGTTCATAGGGAAGTAAGCCCGGAGCCCTGAGAGATACATTTGTTTAGAAAGAAATCAAAGATCGGGAACACCATCTACCCACATTACTCTACCCACATTCATATACATTCCCTCCACTTTTGCAGCCTTTCCCAGAGCCACAGAATCAGAGTAAGATGCCAACAGTAGATCGTACTTAAAACTCTGTGACTCCAGTTAATAAAAATCACTGGGACTATTTTCAACACAGATTAAGTTTGAAAAATACATTATTTGTACATTTCAGGAATTCTAAAGTACACAGATCCAATGAGATTGTCATTACCATCCTAAACCCTTAATGTCTGGCCAGACTCGAAATTCTGGAAGGCAGGGACGATGGCTTATTCTTTATATCCCTCTAAAGCCTCAAATGGTGCCTTGCATATTTTTGGTTCCCAGTACGTATTTGTGTGAGGTTTTCATTAATTATGTAACCTCCATACCAGGGCTACTATGAGTGGAGTTGAGGTTGTGTCCTGCCCAAGAACACCAGGACAGAATGACAATTAGTGATTAGAACCAAGTCCACATTCTCTGGCCCAGTTGTGTGTCTTGAGCCACATCCATGCATAAAGGGTATTTCCTTCCAGTTCACAGAAAGGCAGTAAATGGGCTAGCACTGACCCCCATATGTACTCCTTCCTTGAGCTCATTATGTTCTGGCATGTTTGCATTATTTTTTCCTTTTTCTATTTTTGCCATTCCATGGATATCTATTTATTTATTTATTTTTTTTTTTAATTTTTTTTTTCAACGTTTATTTATTTTTGGGACAGAGAGAGACAGAGCATGAACGGAGGAGGGGCAGAGAAAGAGGAAGACACAGAATCGGAAACAGGCTCCAGGCTCTGAGCCATCAGCCCAGAGCCTGACGCGGGGCTC